GAAGCTTTGGAGGCTATTTCTTCAAAATCGACCAAAGCTAAGAAAGCAATTGTTGATGCCCTAGGCATGCCGGTACTTATTGGAGCTGTAGTTGCTCCTTCCAAAGAAGGGATGCATGAAGAGGGAGGGCAGGCACTTCAGCTGCATGCAACAAAAACATTAGCAAATATTTGTGGTGGGATGTCTGCATTAATACTCTATCTTGGAGAGCTTTCCCAGTCCCCAAGATTAGCTGCTCCGGTTACTGATACAATCGGAGCTCTTGCTTATTCTCTTATGGTCTTCAATCAGAATGATGATGAAGAATCGTTTGATGCAACAAAAATTGAAAGTATTTTATTGATGCTTCTAAAACCTAGAGATGATAAACTGATTCATGAACGCCTCCTTGAAGCTATGGCCAGCCTATATGGCAATGCTTATTTATCAGAAACAATCGATCAACCAGAAGCGAAAAGGGTGCTTATTGGGCTTATAACCATGGCTAATGGTGATGCGCAGGAGTATTTGATACTTTCTCTGACACGCTTGTGCACTGAGGGAGTAAGTGTTTGGGAAGCCCTAGGGAAGAGAGAAGGAATTCAGTTACTTATCTCATCACCGGGTTTGTCCAGTGAACAACATCAAGAGTATGCAGTTGAAATGCTTGCAATTCTGACTGAACAAGTTGATGACAGCAAGTGGGCAATCACTGCAGCAGGTGGAATTCCTCCCCTTATACATTTATTAGAAGTTGGATCCCAAAAGGCGAGGGAAGATGCAGCACATATTTTGTGGAACTTGTGCTGTCATAGTGATGATATCCGTGCCTGTGTTGAAAGTGCTGGAGCCATCCCAGCACTCTTGTCGCTTCTAAAGAATGGTGGAACAAAGGGGCAAGAAGCCTCAGCTAGGGCTCTAACAAAGCTAATTAAGACTGCTGATTCAGCCACCCTACATCAATTACTAGCTCTGCTCTTGGGAGAACCACCAAGGTCTAAGGCTGATGTCATCAAAGTTTTGGGTCATGTGCTTTCCATGGCATCTCATGTTGACCTTGTGAATAAGGGCGCTGCTGCTAATAAAGGGCTGATGTCACTTGTCCAGGTTCTCAATTCATCAAATGAAAATGCCCAAGAGTATGCAGCATCTGTCTTGGCTGATCTATTCAGTACACGCCATGATATTTGTGATAGTCTTGCGACAGATGAAGTTGTGAATTCATGTATGAAACTCTTAACTAGCAAAACTCAAGGTATTGCGACTCAGTCAGCTCGAGCATTGGGTGCTTTATCCCGCCCTACCCGGACCAAGACAACAAATAAGATGTCTTGTATTGTAGAAGGTGATGTCAGGCCTTTAATCAACTTGGCCAAAACATCATCCATAGATTCTGCCGAGACTGCAATGGATGCCTTGGCTAATTTGTTGTCAGATCCTCAAATAGCTGCAGAAGCATTGGCGGAAGATGTTGTTTCAGCCATAACAAGAGTTCTAGGACAAGGATCATTAGAGGGTAAGAGGAGTGCATCCCGTGCTCTTCATCAATTACTGAAGCATTTTCCGGTAGGTGATGTACTGACAGGAAGTACTCAGTTTCAATTTGCTGTTCAGGCAGTTGTTGATTCCTTAAATGCAATGGATATGGATGGCTATGATGCTGCCGATGCTTTAGAAGTTGTTTCTCTACTGTCTCGTATGAAGCATGGCATGAACTCTATGTATCCACCATGGTCTGCCAACCCATCAAGCTTAAAGCCTCTTGTGCACTGCCTGTGTGAGGGACCTCCCTCAGTTCAAGATAAAGCAGTAGAAATTTTGTCTAGGCTTTGTGGGGATCAACCTGTTGTTCTAAGTGACCTCTTGGTTTCAAATTCACGATCAGTTGGTGCGTTGGCGAATAGAATGATGAATTCTAGCAGCCTAGAAGTAAGAGTTGGAGGTATAGCAATGTTAATTTGTGCTGCCAAGGAACATAGAATCTGGTCAATGGATGCACTCGAGGCATCTGGATACTTGAAACCTCTTATTTATGTATTAGTTGATATGATTAAGCAAAATTCTAGTTATTTTTCTCCTGAAATCGAAGTCAGAACCCTCAGAGGTTTTAGAGACGGTTCAGCTTTTCGTGATGGTGATGATTTTGACATCCCTGATCCAGCAACTGTCTTGGGAGGCACTGCCGCCTTGTGGCTGCTCTCAATAATTTCTTCCTTTCACCCAAAGAACAAAATCAATGTAATGGATGCTGGGGGACTCGGAGTGCTTTCTGACAAGCTTGCAAGATATACTTCCAATCCTGAGGTAGGATATACAGCCGGCTTCCTTCTCTATCATTGTTTCAAGCTGTATATGTGTCTAGCTAACGATCATTTAAATTATGGTCCGTGTTTTTGTTTTCTTCTTATTACTAAGTTAATGAACTTCTGTAAGTTTCATGGTCTGAACTTTAAAGATGCAGGTCCATGTGCAGAAAGATCATTCGACACTAGAAATAACTTGCTTTCTTGTAGTTCTTTTTTTTTTTTTTTTTTTTTTCCCC